ATTCCGGCAGTGGTGAAGTATTTCGCAACCTGCATATCAGTCAAAGTAGGATCTAGATATTGAACCGGTTACATGGTACATGATTTATATGTAACCAGAGACAACCGGTTACATGGTACATGATTTATATGTAACCAGTGACAACCGGTTATATGGTACATGATTTATATGTAACCAGTGACAACCGGTTACATGGTACATGATTTATATGTAACCAGTGACAACCGGTTACATGGTACATGATTTATATGTAACCAGTGACAACCGGTTACATGGTACATGATTTATATGTAACTAGTGACAACCGGTTACATGGTACATGATTTATATGTAACTAGTGACAACCGGTTATATGGTACATGATTTATATGTAACCAGTGACAACCGGTTATATGGTACATGATTTATATGTAACCAGTGACAACCGGTTATATGGTAAATGATTTATATGTAACCACTGACAACCGGTTATATGGTACATGATTTATATGTAACCACTGACAACCGGTTATATGGTACATGATTTATATGTAACCAGTGACAGTTGATATTGAACCGGTTACATGGTACATGATTTATATGTAACCAGTGCAAGGTAGATATTGAACCGGTTAGATGGTACATGATTTATATGTAACCAGTGACAGTTGATATTGAACCGGTTACATGGTACATAATTTATATGTAACCAGTGACAACCGGTTACATGGTACATGATTTATATGTACCCAATGACAGCTAGATATTGAACCGGTTATATGGTACATGATTTATATGTTAGCAGTGACAGGTAGATATTGAACCGGTTACATGGTACATGATTTATATGTAACCAGTGACAACCGGTTACATGGTACATGATTTATATGTACCCAATGACAGCTAGATATTGAACCGGTTATATGGCACATGATTTATATGTAACCAGTGACAGCTAGATATTGAGCAGGTTACATGGTACATGATTTATATGTAACCAGTGACATGTAGATATTGAACCGGTTACATGGTAAATGATTTATATGTAACCAGTGACATGTAGATATTGAACCGGTTACATGGTAAATGATTTAACCAGTGACAGCTAGATATTGAGCAGGTTACATGGTACATGATTTATATGTAACCAGTGACAGTTGATATTTAACCTTTTACATGGTAGATGATTTATATGTAATCAGTGACAGGTATTTCGATTTTAAGAAACATGTTAGATGTAAAATGATTTGTTGGTGTCGATTGTGTGTTTTATAACTGGATATATTAGAGCTATATTAGCTAAACAAGTAGAATAAAAAAGGCGTGTTAATAGATTGGCTGGGGCGATGTAGTTGGAAGGGGCAGCCTCCCCTGTTCGGATTCCGTACAGGTGAGAACGTGAGAAAATTAAAGAAATTCATTAACCTTGCAGATTGTTCTTGGCTGCATAAATGCTATTGAAGTAAATTAAGAAATATACGCAGGTTTAAAGCAACGGGCCATATAGCGTAAAACATTACACGCAAATGCGTTATGTTGAAGGAAATCCGCACCAATTTTAATTATGAACAAAAAAGAAGTTAGCGGCGCTAGTTGGTTTGACGTATTATCACGTTTTCGTGAACTTGTCCCCAATGTGATTGCTCACTCAGATATTCGTTATGTTTATTGTTGTGAAAGAGTCCAACAAACACTAGATGTGTATACTGTATGTTGAGGTCAGCCTAGACAGCTACTTGTATCAATACACGGAGCTTGGTGTCACAGTTTAGTGTATGTATGTGTGTGCGTGTGTGAAACCGTGTGTATATGTCTGTGTGTACGTGTGTACCGTGTGTATGTCTGTGTGTATGTGTGTGTACTCGTGTGTATGTCTGTGTATACGTCTGTGTAGCCGTGTGTGTGTATGTGTGTACATGTGTATTTCGGGCGTATGTTTATGTGTGTATGACGGCGTGTGTGGTTGATGACGAAGAGGCCATTATCCCCTAAACATGGACCCCCCCTTCCTCACTGGGCTAAGAAAGCTACTTGTCATAAATCAAATCGACGATCTAAAGAAGCTCAACACATTAGGGAACAAACAAAAGATTTGTATCTGGAACATTAAGATGGTAGACAGGTAGTGTAGCCTACAGCCAACTTATACACAGGGGTCCTGGGGCAAGTTTTTAGATAATTGCTCTTAAGTGTGTGTGTGTGTGATGAGAGGGGGGGGGGGGGGTTAAATACTTGGTTCTAAGAGAATGTATACGTTTTCAAATACTGGGTGGCATGTTTTAATTGGTTGCAAAGTGACATTTCTTTTTGATTCATTGTAAGGATTGCTTGCAAGGGCTGTGGAATTGTAGTCAAACTTAACTTTACAACTAAATGGACTTACGCAGATGCGTAGCTAAGGGAGGGCGGGTGGGGCGGCGGCCTCGGGCGCCGACCTTAAGGGGGCCCCAAATAGGGCAGAAAAATAAAATAGCAAGCTTATTCCGAATTACAGTCGAATTTAAGAAAATACATTTTTGGTTCTACGGACGGTTTTTACGTTGTTTGTGTGATACGGGAAAAAAACTATTAACGGGGACTGATGTGTGCTAGGGGGGGGGGGGTCCTTTTTCGCTCACGCGAATAAATATAAAAATACGGGGGGGGGGGGGGAGGGGGGGGCGCAAAATTGATAGCTCGCCCCGGGCGCTGAAATGGGTTGCTACGCCCTTTACTTATGTTGGTCAAACTGTAGAATTAGATGGTTATTGACTGGTCAGACAGGCACACTACCTGAATATGAAGTAGTCAGTGAAAAAAAAGTAATTCTAGTTTTTACATCTTTAAATTTTATATACTTTTTATAGATAAATGAATTTTCCTGTTATTTATTGGCTTCTAATATAGCTTTAGATTAATTAGTGAGAAAAGGAATTAACATAATTGTTATAACAAAAAATTCTTTGCTTTTAATAAATACAGCAGTGTTGCTAGCTGTTCTATGCAAAGAAAGATTTAATTAAAGCCGAATATTGTAAGGAAAAAATTTTTTTTGTAAAAATGGTTGACACGCGAAAGACGAATGTCAGAAAAAATATTCCATTACAAGTTCTCTCAAGTTATATTATAATTAGGATAACGAGGACAAGTTTTTTCTTGATTGACTTTGACAAACGTTGTTTGTGTTGTGGGTGTGTTGTGGTAGAATGCAGCTCTGGTGGTCTAATGGGGTGTCTGCTAGTTGGTGTGTGGGATTGGTAGGAAGTAGTGTGGGGTTTGTAGGATGGTGTGTGGGATTGGTAGGAAGTAGTGTGGGGTTTGTAGGATGGTGTGTGGGGTTGTAGGATGGTGAGTGAGGTTGGTAGGACGGTGTGTGGGGTTTGTAGGATGGTGAGTGAGGTTTGTAGGAAGGTATGTGGAGTTTGTAGAAAGGTGTGTTGGTTTTGTAGAATGGTGTGTGGGGCTTGTAAGATGGTGTGTTGGATTTGTAGGATGGGGTGTGGGGTTTGTAGGATGGTGTGTGGGGTTGTAGGATGGTGTGTGGGGTTGTAGGATGGTGTGTGGGGTTTGTAGGATGGTGTGTGGGGTTTGTAGGATGGTGTGTGGGGTTTGTAGGATGGTGTGTGGGGTTTGTAGGACGGTGTGTGGGGATGGTGTGTGGGGTTTGTAGGATGGTGTGTGGGGTTTGTAGGATGGTGTGTGGGGTTTGTAGGATGATGTGTGGGGTTTGTAGGATGGTGTGTGGGGTTTGTAGAATGGTGTTTGAGGTTTGTAGGATAGTGTGTGAGGTTTGTAGGATAGTGTGTGAGGTTTGTAGGATGGTGTGTGGGGTTTGTAGTATGGTGTGTGGGGTTTGTAGGATGGTGTGTGGGGTTTGTAGGATGGTGTGTGGGGTTGTAGGATGGTGTGTGTGGGGTTTGTAGGATGGTGTGTGGGGGGTTTGTAGGATGGTGTGATGGGGTTTGTAGAATGGTGTGTGGGGTTTGTAGGATGGTGTGTGGGGTTTGTAGGATGGTGTGTGGGGTTTGTGAGAAGGTGTGTTTGGTTTGTAAGAGGGTGTGTGGGGTTTGTTAGAAGGTGTGTGGTGTTTGTAAGAAAGTGTGTGAGGTTTGTAAGAAGGAGTGTGGGGTTTGTAAGAAGGTGCGTTGGGTTTGTAAGAAGGTGCGTTGGGTTTATAAGAAGGTGCGTTGGGTTTATAAGAAGGTGCGTTGAGTTTGTAGGATGGTGTGTGGGGTTTGTAAGAAGCCGCGTTGGGTTTGTAGGATGGTGAGACGGTGAGATGGTGTGTCGGGTCTGAAGGATGGTTGAATAATAGGTGTGGACTATGAAGAGGTTGAAGCTAATAATTTCTGCTACATCATGTAGATCTGGAAAGGTGGTGTTCAGAAAAGTGGCTGTCTTAGTGCGGCGTGTGGTTGGGGGGTGGGGGGGAAGGGTCTGCAATATATTTTTTGTTATGGCCAACTTCAGGATCGTGTTAGATAATAGTTGGAATTTACTATTTATTTTCATGGTATGGCGGTAATCAGAATTGTCGACTCGTGCTATTGTAGGGTGTCCGTACTATTCGCAAACTAAATAATGTCTATGTTTGTGTATGTTTATGAGTGTGTGTGTGTGTGTGTGTGTTTGATTGTGCGATGAGGTGGGTCTAATACAAAATTAATGTGCTGCAATAGAATGTATATGTTTTCAACGAGCTTTTCAGTCTGTAAAGTTTATATTGTTTGACAGAACATAAGATCTTTTGAACAAGGTAGGCTAATTGAATTAAGCGTTGTTCTTTATCGTTATGGGATGAAAAGTTATTCTGGTTAAAATAACAGTATAGTTGTCAGCGCAGCTATTCATCCAAAAGCAACGTGATACTATGTGAATTTAACCACGGTGACGTCATTCAGATTAACTTTTACCCGTGTACAGTCGTGCAGGTGGAATATAACCAGTCTGACGTCACATGTCTAAAAGTCAATTAGTGTGACGTCATACAGGTAGAAGTTAACCAGTGTGACGTCATGCGGGTACAAATGAACCAGACTTACCTTTTTTATTTGCCATCGTTATATCCAGGATCACAACCGTTACTATAAATAGTAACACTGACGCAAATCCGTTGGAAGGTTTCTCGCTATGAATCGCCATTTTGAATAATTGTTTCAACGGGCACGTGACACTGTGTCGGCAAAATCTACACACTTATCAACACGCGTATCAACACGCTGTATCAACACACTGGATCAACACTCACACACGAACACACAATACGAATATGAGATAATCCACTTGGTAGAACAATACTTCCGGTTTTGGATATATCCATAATCATCCACTTCCAACGTTTGAATAGTTTGAAAACTCCACGACAGCCTTTATCTGTAAGAAAAAAATACGACACGTTATTTAGAAAAAAATATACAAGTTATTTAGAAAAAATAATTCAATAAGAAATATAATGTTATCAGTGAATTAAAAAAAAAGATCGAATCGGTGAATGTTTTGTATAAATAGGTTATGTCCTTAAGAGATATATGGTTGGGGTGGGGGTAGGCATGACTCCGGTTCACAGAAGATTTGTGTAATCAAGTTTTATAAGCGGAACATTGGGTAATGATATGTTTGGTGCTGAGTAAGTAGCTGATTCTGACGCAACAATCTGATTTTTGGTTATTGATTTTCTTTAAGGCATCTATTTTGGGCATTTCTTCCACCGTCCCCACCCCGAACAAAAGAGTGAATATTTTTTTTTGAATGTGTATACGAATCAATTAGAAAACACCTCGCTTAATTAACTTAAAGCCAAGAAACATAGAACCGACATTGTTTACCTTTAAACGTATAAAACTAAGAAAAATGGTGAATAGTTCATTCTGTAAACTGGCAACAAGGCTGCTGATATTTAAACCAGTGTTTCTTTCAGACTTTTTTCTCCGGGTGGGGGGGGGGGGGGTGGTAAAAGTAAAATTATATATTTTCTATATAAATTTTATTCTGTTCAGGGGGGGGGGGGTGGTAGACATGCTTTGGAGGGTATTTAAACGACACCTCTAACACGACTGGGGTTAAAACGTCCGTGTTCGTAAATGACTTGACAACGTTTAGCGGACGCATTTGTAGATATACTCGCGTATTAATTTAAAACAACACTTTGAACTATAATCCATATTAAAATTAATATTGTTTTCTTTCATTTAAATGGTAGCAACGTGCGACGAGTCAACTAGTGAAATATATTTTGTGTTCATTTATTCTTAAATATTGTAGCAAATAAAGTTGTTGCTATATGTAGACTATATTTACATGATTGACTGAACCCTAATATCACATGACTTAGATAAGCGCGCACTGACACAGCGCGGCCTAGGAACCAGGTCAAACTGAACACTGTCTCAAAACGGTAGCTTAACCACTTCCGGTCCTTGTACTAGAATAATCCCCGTCTTTCCCACGATTGTTCACGCTCTGATACGGGCGCTTGGGATATAGGTCACACTGCTGCTTGTTGCGTATCTTTCAAGGTCGTAGTGGTTTGAAGTTGGGGAGGGGTGGGGAGAGTTAAAGTAGGAGGATACAGTTTTTTCATAAACTTAACACAGAAAAAATATTACAGGTACATGTAAAAAATGTCTAGAGTTTGGCAGGCCTACTGTTGTATAACTGTTGTAGCATTGTGTTGTAGTTGTTTAGTAGTGATGTAGTATTGGTTTCATCGTGGTGTAGTAGTTGTGATTGGTGAAGTAGTGGTGAAGTAGTGGTGATGTAGTGGTGTAGTAGTGGTGTAGTGGTTGTGTCGTCTTGCTGTAGTAGTGGTGTAGTAGTGGTGTAGTAGTTGTGTAGTAGTAGTGTAGTAGTGGTGTACTAGTTGTGTAGTAGTGGTGTAGTAGTGGTGTTGTAGTGGTGTAGTAGTGGTGTAGTTGTGGTGTAGTAGTGGTGTAATAGTGGTGTAGTAGTGGTGTAGTATTGCTGTAGTAGCGGTGTAGTAGTGGTGTAATAGTGGTGTAGTAGTGGTGTAGTAGTGGTGTAGTTGTGGTGATGTAGTGGTGTAGTAGTGGTGTAGTAGTGATGATATAGTAGTGTAGTAGTGGTGTACTAGTTGTGTAGTAGTGGTGATGTAGTGGTGTGGTAGTTGTGTACTAGTTGTGTAGTAGTGGTGATGTAGTGGTGTAGTAGTGGTGTAGTAGTGGTGTCGTCTTGCTGTAGTAGTGGTGTAGTAGTGGTGTAGTAGTGGTGATGTAGTGGTGACGTAGTGATGTAGTGGTGGTGTCGTCTTGCTGTAGTAGTGGTGATGTAGTGGTGTAGTAGTGGTGTTCACGGCCACGCACATTACTGATTGACTACACAGCCGATGTGGGAAGGAAAGTGGTTGTGGGATAGTGGGCGCACTGTATCGCCTACCAAAAGAATGAGATTGTGGGATTGTGGGCGCACTGTATCGCCTACCAAAAGAAAGTGGTTGTGGGATTGTGGGCGCACTGTATCGCCTACTAGAAGAAAGTGGTTGTGGGATTGTTGTCGCACTGTATCGCCTACCAAAAGTAATTATCTGATGTAAATCTGTGAGTCAACAGTATGGAGAGTACGGCGGGCCGCAGGCTAGGAAAACGTTTATTCGTTTAAGCCCGCGAGTGTTTGTATTGTTACTAAGGAGATTGCTTATCGCCCTTTAAGATGTAGGCAAACATGTCAACAAGGGAAAACAGGGGAGACAAATGCGGGGGTTATCTTACTGGATGGTTTAGTGACAAATTAGCTTGTAAGTGTCTAGCTAGTAGTGTGCCAATCATGAAGGGAAAGGTGTTAAATGTCGCGAAGTATGGTAGGTATTTTAAATAAATTTTATAAATGTATCTAAAGTGTTTACAAACACATAATTGCTAACACTAACACAAGATACAAAGATACAATGTGAAATAGGTTTTATGAAATAGATTTCAGGATAACTTCAGTATTTTTTTCACTGAAAATTAGTCAACTTTCAACACTTTACATACAGATTTTATCAAGACCTATTAGAATAGTGAATAAGTGGGTGGGGAGAGGGGGGGGGATGCAAAATTGAAGGGTTAAAAGTTTAAAAGTTAAGAGTTGAAGATTACGACGTGAAGCGTTGAGAATTGAAGGGTTGAGGGGCTTAGAGATGAAGGGTTTAGCGATGAGGGGTTGTAGGGGTGAGCGATGAAAAGTTGAAGGTTGAATGGGTAAAAAAATGTTTTATAAATCTAAATTATATTAATAAGTAACTTAATGTATGCAATCTTAATGAATTTTTGTAGTAGCGATAAAATACTCTTTTTGATTGCTAAGATTCTTATTACAATAAAACTAATCCGACACGGCTTTAAATAGATTATAATTATAGAAGCGAATACATTAAACCCCAACAGCATCCAACAAATTAATTGCGCTTTCAGGGACGGTAACCCCGCGTGGCCGTAGGTGCGGAAATATTAGAGTTACCCTCCCCTGCCTGTAGGAAGGGAATTCAGATAATGAGCGTTTAATTATCGCCTGTGTGGTTGTGTGGTGTGGACGAGGGTGTCGCGCCAGCCACACGGCGCTGTGGATTGGTTCCAGAGAGTGCCGGTAGGACTACTGATAGATCACGGTTTACGGTAAATTATGTCAACGTGATACTCGCTGGCTGCTCAGTCCGGTTGTTAATGTAAACACATTTTAATCAACATAATTTGTTGTCCAATCATTACTGTAAACATACTAAAATAAACAGAATTGTCGTATATCTATTGTTTGAACATTAAAATAAACAGAATTTAGTTTTCCGTTTATTACTGTAAATATATTAAAATAATATTTTAATAACATTTTGATAAACAGAACTGTTGTCCAGTTATTAAACAGACTAAAAAAAATAATTGTTGTCCATCTTTTGCTGTAACATTAAAATCAACAGAATTGTTGTCCAATTATCACAGTAAATTTATTAAAATAAACTAATTTGGTGTCCAATTGTTACTGTAAACATACTTATAAACAGGTTTAAATTATGGCTCACAACGAAAATTTTTTAGTTTTCAGAATTTATTTTACGTACTTTTAATGTGTTTACCAGGAATTTAATTTGAAATCTTAGTTAAGAAAATTGAGCAGAATTCTACATACTGACATTAAATCGCCAGGGCAAGTATCACATATAATCAAAGGAGTGACAGAAGAATGAATGAAAATTATCACTTGCGTAATTATTTTTTTCTAACAAACATGTTTTACCAATAAGGGGTCGTACATTAATAACGTCATAATCGTATGGGGGGAGAGGAGGGTCCGTAATTTTGTGACAGTGTGTGATGAGGGGGGAGGGGGCTCAGATGGTGCGACGTCACACTTTTGCATTATAAAAAAGAAAGCAAGGTTAGAAAACGAAGTTTAGACGTTATTTCGCGCTTTAGAAAACTTTTAAAATAAATTTTAATAGGAATTGAGAGAGTTCAGACAAGATTTTGGAAAAATAATCGATGTTTTAAGAAAAATTCAACAGCAATTTTGAGGGGGTTGTAGGCTGAGGTGTGACGTCATTTTAGTTTGGAAAGGGGGGGGGGGTCTGGCTTTTTGTGACGGAGTGGACGGGGGAGGTAAAAATCGTCAAACAAAGCCTGACGTCATGTATGGATGACCCCTAAAACCACTGACAAGTATCTACACACCCGACAATCTACCTGGGTCTGAGAATTGCTAAAAACACGCAGGGTATTTGATCCCGTCAACATGTGACCTATACAAAGCACGCAACTTCTTGCACACAAGCATTCAAATTTGGCGGGGTGGGGTGGAGGGGGGTGGTTTGAAGGAAAGCCCCAAAAAGACATCTGTAAAATAAATATGATGAGAGTTCATTAATGTCATGAACTGAATATTTCGTGCAGATTTATTTTATTACAGGATACTTAAAAAACCATAGATTTACAGATAACAGCATCTCCCTTCATTTTTCAAACTGAGCAGAAACCATATCAGTTCTAGCGTAGAGTACACGTTCATTCTCTGTGTAGTCATGTGTTTAAGTGCATCTTTTTTTATACTCAGATTGAAACAAATAGGCCTACACTTCTTATAAAGACGTTTATTTATAAGAAGCATGAAATAACATTGTTAATGTAATTTAATAAGAGAACATTTTTTTTTTTTTTTTGCGCTGTTGAAAGCAAACTTAATTAAAGGCCTAAGCCATGCTAAAAATGAATTAAATTAGCGTTGATACAAATAAAATATGCTTTAAAAAAACACGTAAATTTGTTGTTGTTTTTTTTGTCTATTGTGTCTCCTGCATTGTTACGGTTGTAATTCAGCCAGGGAGGGTGTTATGGCATATTTTCGAGTGACACCAAGAGGGGTGAGGGTTGGGGGTGGGGTGTTAGACAATATGGCGCTTCAACTCGGTGTGAGTTTGATGGTTTATTGTGACAAATGAGGGGAGTATATGACACGGGGCGGCTACAGGGGACGGAATTATGGCAATCTCGTGGGGAGGGGGGGGGGGGGTGAAGTACTTAGCGGGTGTGAGGTGGATGATGTGACGGATGGGGTGCTGGGAGGTGGGGGTAAGCTGGTAGAAGGTGATACGGGGCGAGGGTTAGATGGTAGTGATATGGTGTCAGGGGGTGGGTGGTGGTGGCGAGGTTGATGGAAATAACAAGTGACAGTTGGAGGTGGGGGGGGGGTTAAGGGAGACATAGGGTTGTGTGTGGGTGGTCAGTGATGTAATGGTGGGGGTTGTGTGTGGGTGGTCAGTGATGTAATGGTGGGGGTTGTGTGTGGGTGGTCAGTGATGTAATGGTGGGGGTTGTGTGTGGGTGGTCAGTGGTGTAATGGTCAGGGTTGTGTGTGGGTGGTCAGTGGTGTAATGGTGGGGGTTGTGTGTGGGTGGTCAGTGATGTAATGGTGGGGGTTGTGTGTGGGTGGTCAGTGATGTAATGGTGGGGGTTGTGTGTGGGTGGTCAGTGATGTAATGGTGGGTATTGTGTGAGGGTCGTCAGTGATGTAATGGTCAGGGTTGTGTGTGGGTGGTCAGTGGCATTATGTCAGTGGTCTTATGGGTTGTTATGAAACAACTATGTTAATGATGTCCTGGGTTGTAATAAAACAACTACGTCAATGGTGTTACGGGCTATTATTAAACAACTATTTCAGTGGTGTTATGGGTTGTTATAAAACAACTGTCAGTGGTGTTGGGGTTGGTAAAATGTTATAGAACACTGGTAGGTCGGGTGGGTAGATCTAGCCTCATTAAGGTGGATAACTTCAAGGTCAATGACCAACTATTAATAGATTGTGTGATCAGCATTCCCCCCCCCCCCCCCCCCCCCCCCGATAAAACCATATACCCAACTGAGCTCGGTAGACTTGTAGATGCGTCGTCCTACAGCTGGTACTTCAACTATTCGGGTTAGATGTTATATGCGCTTCCATTCGACCATGTGATTTCTTAATCTCAACTCAAATACTTTTTTAACCGAGTATAACTCAAAGGCAGTCTAAGAGTTAAAGCAAATAATTCGGTAACATTTAATACTTGAACCGAAAAAAATATTTCTTTCTAAAATAACGTTATTTGGTTTAAAAGAAATGTCTACATTTTTCACCCCACATCCTGTGTTTGTCATTGGGAAAAAAAATATCAGTTTTCGTTTTGTTTTAGAGATTACGTCAGTGTTGATGTCAGTGTCATGTGTGGTCTCGCCCGTCACCGCCCCGCCCCCTCGACTCTCCCCCCCCCCCCCCCCCACCCCAAAGAAAGAAAACCGACAGGATAACCCGTGTCATCAAGCTACTGTTGAAATTATTGTGACATGCGCAGAAAGAGGGAAACGACGGTAACCGGAAATGAAGCTGATTTGAACTTTCGTTACATGGTACGAGAACAAGGGAAGGCACTAATGTCGACCCTGGGACCACGCCGACATTGATACGTAAAATAGCCTGCGATTGGCGTGTTGGAATCGATTTGACAAAATGGCGCGGAGGAATCGGTTTAAAAAAAAATTGAAATTGTCGCCTCGATCCTGTTAAATTATATCTTTTATTCACAAAAAAAAAAAAAAAAAAAAAAAAAAAAAAAAAAAAAAAAAAAAAAAAATGGAAGAAAGAAATGAAGAAAGGGTTAATACGCATTTTGTTGGACTGAGTAAAAAGAAAAGCTGCAGATTTTGATTGCAATCGTTAAAAATAAAACTTGGCTGTAATTATCGAATCGATGGCGTAATCCGATGAGCGGAACAGATACTCGAATGTAATGAAGGGAGATGGATATGAAAATAATGCCGTACTTTTTAGCTATCCTTACGGAAATAAATATAGAGAATGAAAGTGGGAAGGGGGTTATAATAAACGCTATTTTAAAAAGAAATTTCACAGTTTCTGCAGATTCAATTTTTTTAAATGTGTGCTACACAAATCCTCTACCAAAGTCACATGACACATACTTAAGTCACATGACGCAAACTTAAGTCACATGAAAAAAACTGAAGTCACATGACACAAACTTAAGTCACATGATACAATCTCAAGTCACATGATTCAAACTGTAGTCACATTACACAAAAACACTACTTCATCACATGATACAAATACGCGAAAACTAAAGTCACTTGACTCAAATATGCTACCTATCACCGACACTTTTCACTTTTCAAAATTTGATTAACAAACATAAAGCAATTAATTAAGAAACTAATCAACGTCCTATTTACAGCTTGTCAGGAAACCCGTAAAACTGGCAATTAGGTTTTAATCTACAGCAATATAATTAATCTGCACGTTAGATGCATCTTAGAACTCGCCGTTAAAACAATTTAAAGGTGTGGGGAGAGTAGGTACAGTAGAGTGATTCTGTTTTTATGTTCATGCTATGTGGGTTAATGAGGTGACATTAAAAATGAAATGACTTCTCGGATATGACAGTGTTTAGGATAGATGAAGTAGAGTTCGTCCATCATGTTGGGACTGCGTATAAAAGAATTATGTGGTTATGAAATCGTCGCTCAGATCTGGTGTAGGTATAAAATAGGTGGGGGAAGGGGGATGATGAAACAGATTCACTCTCCTCCACCTACATTACGCCGTCTGCTAATGTATGCACATGTTTTACACGACGTACGTTAACAATGTTCATAAAACAAATGTAAAAAAAAAAAAAAACTTTTATAGTAACAAGCTTTTAAATGCAGTGAAAATAAGAAAATAAAACTAAATTGCTTTCTTTCATAAAAGCTTTAGTCGCTCATAATTTTTTTTTTTTTTTACATATTTTTGCATCGAAAGCTTTTATGAAAAAGCAAATTATAATAATTTAATTCTTTTTCAGTGCATTTAAAAGCCTGTTGCTATAAAGGTTTTTTTTATATTTGTTTTATTTTCTGCTTTTTAATTATTCCTAATTTATGACGTCGCCACGACTAAAACTATTTGCATTAAAACACCATCAGTAGCACGCGATATCTAAAAGACGATTGTCTGTTCGTGAAAGCAGCTGTCCGTGACCATATTTATAGACGACAGCAAGTTCTAAATCATGTTACCTCCCCTTAGTTTCAAATTGTTAAAAAACTTTATTATCTACCCTTAATACTTAATAGCCTTCATTAGATCGACCGGCTCTACGATTGTAAAAAATCTCGTGAACCAAATATCACCAGACTGTTAGGGTGATCGCGTCTAGCTACTTATCTCCACTTCTGTTATTGAATATAGTAATCTATCAAGTGATTTAATTATGTTATCTCCCCTAGTGTCGAAACCGTTTAATCACTGTTAAAGACTAATTAAACATCTAATTAATTTAAAAAAATTGAGTTGTATTGTTATCGAAGTGGAACGTATCTGGAAAGTTTGAACGAAATCGCTGCATTAGAAGTGGGTCAAAAGTGTGCTATAAGATTTGCCACAAACCCAAAAATAAACACACAAACAGACGTTGAGAACTAAATAAAAGCTTGTAAAAACAATCGTGTGTCAAAACACCTCAAAACTAGAATGTACAAAGAATTACAATTAGCGCAAGTGAAAATTAATCGTCTGATGTAACGAGTGCATTTTATCTTACACAAACGGACAAAAAAAAAATGCAGTACTTATTTTTTAACCAACATTAGTCTTTCATAAAGGTAAATGAACACACTTTATTTGAACCTGAAAAATAAAATTATATATAAAACTGTGCCAGAAAGCTTACATGTTTTGTGCGGGAAAGATAATTAGTAATAGCGAAAGAAAATTGAAAATTACTGACTTACCTTGATAACGGACGAAGCGGTATGCTATAAGATGCCTAGACTATAAAATACCTACTAAGATCGGCGATTTGTCTCATGTATATACTATATATCCGACTGTTTGGGCTATCACTCTACCACTTACTTAAATCATAAGTCTGGGCTATCTATACTAGCAGCGATACTACCGTATTTAGATCTACAAGCCATCCGCTAATACAACCATATGTGCAGGCTATCCACTAAAACATTAATATGTGCCGGCTATCCACTAATACAACCGTATGTGCCGGCTATCCACTAATACAACCGTATGTGCCGGCTATCCACTAATACAACCGTATGTGCCGGCTATCCACTAATACAACCGTATGTGCCGGCTATCCACTAATACAACCGTATGTGCCGGCTATCCACTAATACAACTGTATATCCAGGCTATCCACTAATACAACCGTATATCCAGGCTATCCACTAATACAACCATATGTGCCGGCTATCCACTAATACAACCGTATGTGCCGGCTATCCACTAATACAACCGTATATCCAGGCTATCCAAATATACAACCGTATATCCAGGCTATCCACAGAGCAGCCGTTTAACCACCTACCTCACGCCTACTACACCAGGTAATTGTGAGACAGTTACAAACGCCGCTACCCCCCTCCTCTCTCCTCGCGGAGATCACAATCTCTTTTCAACGGGCGGTAGGGTGTTCGCGGACCGGCCCGCTAACCGTGTGTGTGTGTGGGGGGGGGGGGGGGCGCTAACCGCATGTGTGGGGGACGGGCTTGTTACATTCAGCATGTGCAGGCCCGTCGCTTGTGGCTAATACTGATAATACGCTTTTAAAAGTTGGGGGGGGGGGGGGGAGGTTGGGGGGGGGGGGGGTTATTTCCATGTATAATTTACGAATTTAAAAAAAAAAATCTATTATTTGGAAAAAACTGTTTCCACAAAATAACATTAAGGCCTTTGAAGAACCAAATCGTTCATAGCATTGGCAGTCAGAGTTTGTACTTTGTCGTGGGTTGGTGTGTGACATCTCTACCAACGTCTTATGTGTAATTATATTACCGTTAAATAATTAACATAAGCGCCCAGATTTCAGGCAGGATTAAACTACTCGTCAACGTTGTACCATTCCCATTTCGATAAAAAGGAGAATATATATATATATATATATATATATATATATATATATATATATATATATATATATATATATATATATATATATATATATATATATGCCATATTGAATGATATATTTTGTATGTGCCATTTTTTATCACAAATATATAGAACTTGTAATAGGACCGTTTAATAATTGTCTTAGTTATGTTGTGGCTAACAAATATTTCACGTTAACAATACGCTGAATAATTTAAAAAGTTCCAGCTTGTAATTCAGAATCAATATCAGAGACCTTCATTAGGTGCAGAAAAATATCGATTATATCACCAGAGGAGTATAGCCAGGTGGTATCCGAACCCACCACTCCACCGAATCGCCTCGCCGGCCATACATCAGGAGAGAAGTGTAAACATTGCGACCAGTGAATGGAGTACTCGTGTTTACCAGTCGATGACATTATGATGTGTAGTTAGTGAAGATGATAGAACACATTTTGATGATAGAGTAATTTATATCAGTCTAGAACAGCCTATATTTAATGTATGAAATAATATTGTCGATACTTTGATTTCTGTTATATTTCATCTGGACACAAACTTAAGTTTTACGCACACAATTATTTTTTGTGTAGACAATTATGTTCTTGTTCACCAGATATGGTTTACAAAGTGTGATCTACTCGGTGAAATATTATGTAACATATGGCATGAGTACACACTATAGGTCGTGTCTTAAGGGGTTTTGTTTAGATATCAAAAAGTTTTTCAGGTGGTGTTTTCAATTTAGGTGTTTTTTTTTAAATTACTGTGTTAATTTTTAGGAACGTATTAAGCGTGTTTTAGTATTATAAACGGGGTGCAGATTTAATATCGTAGCGCAGTGATTGTCTTAATTTTGTGACCTTTAAAAATAAACCTACAAACTATGCATGTAGACTTGGTGCTATACGTTACATAGTATTCGACCGAGTAGATAAAACTTTGCAAAGCAAAGCAGGTGAATCTAAACATAATTTTCTATTCGTAAAACAATTGTTATGATGGGACCAGCAACAAGTTAGGTCGTGTCTGAAAGGATTTATTTATAATTACAATATGTATTAAGCGAAATTTTAACTATATGGTTTTCTATGTCGCTTTCAAGCACTTATGTTTATTTTTAGGAAAGTTTTTAAATATATTTTAATTGCCTAAATGGTGCAGATTTAAAAACGATTCAAAAGGTAGGTTCTTTATTTTTCTACACCTTTAAATATTCTTACTGACTATACATGAGGATTTGCTGCTAGTTCCATAATATATCTAAATGAGAAGACACGTCGCTCGTAAGACCTTCCTCCCTTCCTCTCTAACTACGCCCCTGTAGTTAGCTGGCGAATGTTTACATTCTAAAACTAACATTTTTTAGGTTTTTGATAACGGAAGAGGTCTACGCCACCTCACAAGTCCCCTATAACAGGTTTGCTGTTCGTTTTTAAAAACTTTTTTTTAACAAAACCGCGTTTTAATCTCAAAGTCAATTTTTTTTTATACTGCTGTGTGCTGTGTGACAACAGCGGTCTGTTTGTTTAGGTTTTAATACCAACAGATTGGGTAACGACAATAGGGGGTGGGTGGGGTGGGTGGGGAGGTGTTTGGGGTGTGATAGCGTGGAGTGGTTGCGTGGTGTAATATCTCATTGCTCTACGACTGGATCTATTGTGAGTGGGTGAGGGGGGTGGGTGTATGAAAAATTATGAAGGGAGGAGATTGAAGGAAGATATCACACCGCGAAACTAAATTTATTTAAAAATTATTTTACTTCTAGTGTTGCATTTTGTTGAGTAACATTGAATGCATAAATCATAGGGTAGGGTGTAGGGTGGAGGAGTTAGTAGATGAACAAAAAGTACAGAAACCTAATAAAGTTTAATTTTCTTCCTTTTTTTGTTCGCTGAATACACACGACTCATCTTCAAGGATTTTAGTTTGATATAAAGCTCATGTGTAGTTGACAATCAGATAATTGGGTTAGGATTAGGGCATTTTACAATCAGTGGAGTTCGGTTAGGGTTAGGGCACTTTAAAGTCGATGTGGTTGGATTCGGGTTAGGTTACTTTACAGTTGATGTGGATGGATTAGGATTAGGCTATATCTACCAGAAAGTGTCTACAAACGCAAATATTCGACAAATTACGTTCTGCTAACATACACATGCAGCGAACTATCACAGACCAGCTGAACATTCAGATAACACAAGTGACCATTGTCCCTAGCCGTCACATTCACAGGGACAGTTATAACTCTAGTCAGGTGTGACTGGTTTTGTTGTACGTCAGTTACGTCCCCTCAACTTAGAGACATACCAACATCATCGCCCGAGGAATACAACAACGCTATAGAAACATCAACATCATCACCTAAATAATACCGAAGTATCAACACCATCACCTAAATAATACAGCACTTCTACCGAAGTATCAACACCATCACCTGAATAATAACAACACTTCTATCGAAGTATCAACACCATCCTAAATAATACACCACTTCTACCGAAGTATCAACATCATCACCTCAAGAAAAAAAGTGCTATTGTAATTCCAAGATGAACAACGCAATTACCGAAATATCAACATCATCACCTGAACAATACAAAACCACTACAAGTTATACGAAATAGAGGGTGTGTCTTAATGTTTCAGCTTAAGGGAGGGGGGGGGGAAGTTAAATTCTATTGTGTCACTCCTCATGTATGAATGTAGATTCGGCCTTTATTTTGACGTTCCCGTTCGATGTTTACAAACGGACCGTCCAACCCCCCAGTCCAAGCTACACCTCTGGTTATGACATGTTTGATGGACACGTGTCACAATGAGACAATTGTCACAATTGTGTTGAAACTCATACAATTGGTGTTCGGTTAGTGAAGAACCATAAGACTGTTAGTGCCTGTTTTCTGCTTTCTATGTAGACCCCATATTTGGACAGTGGGTGGGGGTCGGGTTTTCTACAGCCTGAAGCATCGACAGGTGGATCCACATCCAGGTGGATATGTCTTTTATATCACCCCCCTCACCCAAACCACCTGTGGTAGCAGCCCTCCTCTACACTCATCACCCCCTCCCTTCAGTTTTTATAAAGGCTACATGTTCAACCTTCGTATCCTATAAGCCTGCGAAGACTTAATCCTTCGCGTCGATACGGGAAAATCCGAAAACAAACAGAGGAAAGGAGGACTCGACAGTGGCGCAGGGCAGAGATTCAACTGAGACGACACGGAAGGAGAGAAAGATGGGAACTCTTTTTTCATTGGAGGACACATAAAACATTATCAAGGGAGAGAAGAAAGTGAGAGTAAGGGGGAAGGGGTGGGGGATTAAGGCTGGGAGTCATGAATAATTAATTGAGATTAATTATCAAGGTAAGGTGTGACGCAAGTGACGCGTTGGGTGTGAGGAGATACCTTAAACCGTTAAATAAACATGGAGGTGAGTTGGGCCACTAGAGAAGCTGTGGTTGTCTGTGGTGGTTTCCCTTGGTTACTAAATGAAAGTGATGATGATGTAAATTATATGAACCTTCAGTTAACTGAGCATTTCTTGTGTGGACCTGTTTCTTTAGTTGAAAATTTTGTAATGCCATTTTAAAAAAAATGTGTAAGATTTTCTCCCGGTACAAGCAGTGTAGGTAGTTTAATTAATTAATTATTTTTTTTTTTGTGTATTGGATATTTAGGTAGAGATTAGTATATATTCTAATTAGAAATACATTAATTCTTATTAGTAAATTATTGAAGTCTTTTTTTGAAAATGGATGTGCAGAAATTGTATATTCTTATTAAAACACGATGTATACACCAGTTGAATAGTTGAAATTTTTTAAATTATTATTGATTTTCAAAGTATGCTCATCAAACTTTATGAAGACAGTAACATTGGGGAGGGAAGGTGTTGGAAAGTTGATTTTGGCGCAAGTAACTTAAAATGTTATTATGTCTTATAGTTTTTGCGGGCTTACAATTTGTCCTTTTCCCCAACTTGTTTCGACTCTGTTTATAAGCAACA